GACCCTGGATTTGATTTTTCTCTCTCTCTCTCTCTCTCTCTCTCTCTCTCTCTCTTCTCTCTCTGTCATTCTAAGGTTGAGGGCAGGTAGGTTTTATTTGTTGTTACTGCTTTTTTGCTTTTTTCAGGAATGTTACTTGAATTTTAGTATGTCTTGATCAATTAAGAGAGAAAATCATTTAGAAACCACCGCAGATATAAGATACCATGGTCATAATAAAATGATAAAACTCAAAGAATACTCACTGCTAACAACTTTCCCAGAACCACACCACTTAATACCTCGTTTTTAGTCAAGATTTGAGGAATTTCATTACATCACAATTTGTGAAGCTGTCCTGCAGCAAGGACTACCCCCCGCCCCCAGTCCCCCAGGGTTAAGTTTCCTTGTTATCCAGCTGCTCTTTATAGCGTTAATATTTTAAGAAGTGATTTGTTGGCACTTCCCTCCCATTAATTACGTTCTTTGTGCCACAGTGGGGTTCTCTTTCCCGGGATACTAGCTATAATTAATTCCCTCATTCAAAGCCCTTGTCTGCTTGACTTATTTAGAGAGTATTTTACCCAAATTTAGTTGAATGATATTTACTAATGGAAAATAATTAAACTTCCAAAGTACTTGCTAGTCCATAAATCTAATATGTGCCAATGTTAAAACAAATGAGTATCAGGCTTTCTTTCTAGGTCCTGGTCCAAACTGCCTTTCAACAGTTACAATTAGCAGCTGGAAGGCAGGGACAGGGGGAAGTATGCCTCAGTTGCTTGTCATGAAAGAGTCCCTCGAACTTCTTACTGGCAGGTTTGAACTTCAAAAACGATGCTCTAAGAATATTCTTTGCCTTTTTAAGTTTACAAACATCCAATGTTCTAGTGATTCTGTTATTATTTTAATAGTAAATATCTAAAAGTCCTCAGAAACCCTCCTCAAAAGACTCTAGAGGGAGGTCATGGAGAAAGACAGAATTTCTACTTGTAGTACATGCGGAGGTTTTAGAAATGTTATATTCCTTATCTCAGTAACCCAAAGTCCATATTTTGGTGAAGAACACAATCATAAGAGATCATTTTTCCTGCCTCTACTCTCTGGTGGCCCTGCCTGCAGGAAATTCTATAGCAAGTGAGTTAAACGCTATGATGTCTGGGATTTGCTTTAATAAACACCCCCAAGGGGAATGAGGGAGAAGGGAGAAGATGAGAGAAATGGAGAGAAAATAGGACCAAAGGCAACATACTGACAAGTGTAGCTGAGTGAAGGGCCCTTGGATGGCACAAATGTAATTTTCTATTTTATAAAGAAATAAAAATCACATATTTTCTTTGGAGACACTGAGGATGGGACCCAGGGCTTCATGGGTGCTGAGTGTGACCTCTGTCACTGAACTCTCCTACCAGCTCCCCATTTTTTTTTAATCTTTGGAATCTCCTAAAATGGGCACTGAGCCATATTACCAAACCTTGTTCTGTTCATTTCTCTTTTTTGTATTCTTTGGAGCATGGGAAATAATTTGAGTTTTAAAAAAATTAAAAAGACAAAAGAAGTGAAAGAAAGAAAGAAAGAAAGAAAGAAAGAAAGAAAGAAAGAAAGAAAGAAAGCGATATGAGAAGGGCTGGGAAACAAAATATACTAAAGAAAAGGGGAGAAAAGGCCAAAGGAAGGCCTAAGAAAAGTTGGGGGAAATTCGCTTTGACAAGGACGTTCCTTTGACTCATTTGCATTGGACCCAGAAACAAGGTTAAAAAAATAAAATAAAACTGGATTTCTTAATCCTTCCTCAAGTTCTTTCCTGGAGTGGTTTGTTATCATTAACTTTTCTTTAATTACTTTGCTGGTGACTTAATGAAATTCTTTCTTGGGTCACTCACTGTAAATCTTTTTCCAGGCCATTATTTGAAAGAGACCTTTCTCTCAGATTTGCGGTCTCCCATATTTACCACTAACGAATAGCAGGGCGCTGGGGAATATGAAGCATCGTCTCAGACCCTGGCAACTGGGCCCCAAAGCCAGGTTCTTTGTCCTGCCCAGAACATCAACCAGACACAGCCTTGTCATTTAAAAAAAAAAAAAAAAAGATTAGACTAGACACAGTGCCCTTGAAGCAGTATGTCCTTGAATCCCCCAGAGAGCTTTGTAAAACACAGAATTGGGTTCATAGCATCTGCAGTGGGTTCTGAGATCCTGCATTTCTAAACAGTTCTCTGGTGATGGGGGATGCTGAGGCTGTTGGAGTGGGGACCATTCTCTAAGCCCTCTAGCTGTCTTCTGTCCTTGTCCCCAGCCATAGGAGGAGTGAAAGAGGCAAAACGGCATGCTCACTCAAAGCCCATCTCGTTTTTGAACCCTGGACCCAGCACTTCTTCCTCACACACAGCAAAAACTGCAGCTGACAGCCACAGAAATTACTTCTCAGGTATAAGAGGCTCTGGGCAGAAACAATCAAAATTTGTACACACAGATCATAGTGCCTAAACATGTCCACAAAAGGCCTCCATGGGGCAACACGGATTCAAGGAGGGGGAGAAAAGGTTGGGAAGAGCAGATTCAGGACAGTGGAATCTTGTCCTGATTCACAAATGTTAGAGCAGGGCTGTTGCCTAGTACATGGTAAAGCTCCATAAATAGAAAGGAAATGAATAATTGAATAAATGGCAAAATGAATGGTTTCTCCTAGCAACTCCATAGCACTTGCTCCACACTGTACTTCTGTGTTAGGGAATCTGTCTTCTGTATTCCTGTGACCTCCTCTTCATTATGTGCCTTGGGACAGAGGACAGTGGCTGACACATCGTGGGTACTTTGTGTTGAATGAATGGCTACACCTAGTGCATGACCGATTGCAAACCTGTTGTGACTGAGTAGCAGTGTTTCATGACTATGAAGAAACCAGAGAAACCAGGGTGGATTTCCACGGCAGGGGTGCAGTACAATCAGTTCTTTACAATTTAATTGAACTGTCCATTGTGACAGAACTGTCAGAAAAGGGAAATCACCAGTTCCTCCCTGACAGAGATAGTGGTGACACTTGTCTAAGAGTGCAGGACTGCAATGCAGAGAAAATTGACCAGCATGGCAGAAAGAATACTTTGATTTTGATTCTGCTATGGCTGGGTTCAAGTGTGCCTCTCCTGGCCTTGACAAAGATCATTTCAGCTAATTTCCCTTTTATCTAAGCCTTCTCCAAAATGAGGAGGATGGGATAAAGTAATCCCTACCTTGAAGGATTGTTGCAAAGATTCAAAATAAAACATACAGCCTAGCACAGGGTTGGAGTTCCATAACTGGTAGGTACTGTTCCCCAACCACCAGCTGACCTGAATCTATCAAGGAACAGTTACGGCCAGCTTCCTGCTGAACCAGAATAGCCCTTTTCTCTGATTAGCCTAAATAGATTATTTACAGTTCCCCATCATTCATTCCCTTCTTCATTAAATGGGCCCATTCATAACCTTGGCAAGTCCTGTTGATTATTCATATTTAGAGTTATTCTCAAGAGAAATACCCAAAGCTAGAAGACAGGCGGA